TAAATTATATTTAAAATTAATATATATAAATATTTGAAATATATAAATTATATTTTTAATTTATGATAAATAATTTGTATTGTAATAAAATTTTGTTTTTTTTATTGTTAAATTATTTTAAAATATTAATATTTAATTCATAATAACTATGATAAATAAAATCTGAATTAGAAAAAAATTATAAAAAAAATTCTACAAACCTTTTTCGTTGAAGAAAAACTTCTAAAAACACTTTTGTACAAAATAGAAGTTTGTATTTAATATATAGAGTTGTATTGGAGGAGAAACAAAAGAGTGGTTTTAGCATACATTCTAATATGGCTAAAATGTACCAGGACATTAAGAAGAGCTTTTGGTGGCCTAGTGTGAAGAGGAAGGTGACAGAGTATGCAGCAGTCTGTTTGACTTATTAGAAGGCAAATGTTGAACACCAAGAGTCTGGTGGCTTGTTGTAGATGATGGAGATTCCTGAGTAGAAATAAGATAGTATCATGATGGATTTCATTGTTGGATTGCCAAGGTTGACTAAGAATAGTGATGTTGTCTAGGTGATTGTTGATAGGTTGACCAAGTGGGTACACTTTCTTCTTATCAACATGAAGTGGTCTTTGGAGAAGTTCACTCAATTGTATATCAAGGAGATGATACAATTGCATGATGAGACTTCAAGTATTATCTTTAACAAGGATCCAAGATTCACTTCTAGGTTCTAGCAAAATTTACACCAAGCTTTGGGAACGCGGTTGAGGTTGAGTTCCACCTATCACTCACAGATAGATGGACAGTCAAAGAGGACAATTCAGTCGTTAGAGGACTTGTTAAGAGTTGTGCTCAATCATGTAGGTAATTGGGAGGAGGTGCTGCCTTTGGTAGAGTTTACCTACAATGATAGTTATCATGCGAGCATAGGTATGACACCTTTGGAGGCATTATATGGCACGAGATGTAGGACTTCACTATGTAGGTATCAAGAAGGTGAGTCAGTGGTTGTAGGACCAGAGTTGATTCTATAAACTATTGAGAAGGTGAAACAAATTCAGAAGAGGATGAAAACTGCCTAGAGCATACAAAAGTCTTATGCTGACTAGAGGAGGAAGCCACTAGAATTTGAAGAGAGGGAACATGTGTTCGTGAGGGTGACACCCGCTATTGGAGTGGGAAGGGTTGTGAGAGCCAAGAAACTAATGTATAGGTTTATTGGTTCTTACTAGATCCTTCATCACATAGGTCTTGTAGTGTATTAGTTGGCGTTGACTTCGTTTCTTTCCAACCTACATGATGTGTTCCATGTGTTTCAACTGAGGAAGAATATCAAATATTTGAGTCATGTGGGTTAAGATGGATGAGGTGCAAGTTAGAGAGAGCTTGACATATGAGAAGAGGCCAATAGTTATGGTTGATCACAAGTTGAAAGAGCTTAGGGATAAGTCCATCAGCTTGGTGAAGGTTCTTTGGGATGCAGTTACTGGTAAGGCGACTTAGGAGGTTGAAAAGCAGTTTAAGACTTAATATCCATTCTTATTTCCAAGAAAGTCCATTTTCAGAAACAAAAATTATTATTTGTTGGGAGAATTGTAACACTATACTCAGGTAAGTTGGGTATGTGTGAAGGTCTCTAGCCAGAAGTCCAATTGACCTTAAGAGAAAAAGGTATATAAGGTTATGTTTTGAGTTGAGCTTCATAAGCTCATAACCTTCAAAACCTTTGAGAGATTTCTAGAGAAAGGAACTTTAACCCAGTTCTTCTTTTCTTCTTCTTCCTAGATCCCTCTGGTGCATGAAGATTATGTTTGGATAATGGATTCAAAGCATTTGGAAGGATGAGAATCTAAGTTGGGCAGTAGTGAAGCTTGTAGAAGCTCAAAAGTTCATCTTCTCTTTTTTTCTCATTCTCAAATTGCTTAGAGTTTGAGGTAAAGGAAGCTAGAACGAATTGGTTAGTTGATTAAAGAATTGTGTCATTTTTCTCATCAATTATGGGCAAATTGTGATTGAAAATATGATTGAAAGGGGATGAGTTTTAGTGTTTTTGAACTATGAAGGTGTTTTGGGTGATTTCAAATGATTGGTGTTGCATGTTGTTATTTGACTTAGATATGAGTTATATGGAGTACCTATGGGTTTGGTGTTGTTGCATGTGTAATTTGGTTATTTTTCAGGTAAGTTGGGGAGATTTTTGAAGTTTGCATTTGCAGATTTTTGATGTCTCGTTGGACACACCTTTGTAGCGCCAGACATAGTTTTAACCAAAGAGCTTTATCTCAATCACACCAAGCGCAAGATCGATGACATCGAGATTGAGATGAAAGACTTGTTTCGAGTTGGGATGACACTAGACGTTGTTTGAATGGCAGCGAACGTAAGTGCTTTGGGAGATCTCTAACTTAGTGACGTCGAACTCAAGGTTGAGTTATGTCTAATGTGGGCAAACCAAATCTCTCTGTTTAGATAACGTTGAGCGCTAGTATGATGACACTAGGCGTGAGTCAGGTAGAGAGTCTCTACCTAATTAGAGGTTAGTGTGGGTTCTGTCATGACAAACACGATGTCCTAGGGGATCTCCACCTTAGTCACACCAAGCACGGTTTGGATGGCATTGGGCGTGAGCAAGGTAGAGAGCTCTTTGCCTTGATGATGCCAAGCGCAAGGTAAGTTGCGTTGGGTGCAAGATGCTTGGATGTTTAGTGTGTTTTTGTGATTTTGTGTGAACATTAATAGATGTTTTAAGTTTTATTGCATATTGTATGCCAATTGTTTTGCATATGTTAATTAGATATGACATGTATAGATGTTTTGTATGGTGTTGGATAATGGTGATTATATGTGTGTTGTGCATATGTGTGATGTATGATTTTGGAGAGCCTTGATATGCGATGTATGGATGATGTTGTTGATCTCTATATGCATTGTCTAGATGTGATGTATATAGTAGATGTATGATGAAGTGTAGATGTTGAAAATGCAGTATACCATTAAAACATGTTGGCTAACTTAAGACTTTAGGAAAGAAAATTATTTTGAAAACTGAAGATCCCACAAAGGAAATCTTGAAGTGGTGCTCAAGTAGGTCATTGTTAGAAAATCCTCTTAGAGTAGGTGTGTCTCTCGGAGTGGGCTTTTGAGGTGTGTTGAGTCTCCTCTAGGTCCTTAGTTAGTGATTGAATATCAATATAAATATAATATCATGTTAGACAAAATATTATTTATTAAGTCAAAATGTTATATTATTAACACGTAGTAATTTTAAAAAAAATCAAATACAAAATAATGAATTGAGTTGGAACAATCTAAAAGAATAACTTAAACTCATCCTTAAAATATATCAAGTTCAATTTGTTAAACTTGAACATGTTAAAAGTTTCTAGTCGGGTACTAAATGTTTTGATTAATTATTTTTGATATTGAATTAACTTTGTTTTTTTTTTTTTCTAAACACAAATATGTATTTAATTGAATTAATTTTTTACTAAAGTAATTATTTTTTTCTATTTTTCTTTTACTTTTTTTCCTAAAATTAAATGCAACAAAAAATGCTTTGAGACTAATAATTGGCCCACAAAAATCACTTAGATCTCATTTTCGATTATGTTGAGTCTAATAATTGGCTAAAATAAGTCACTCTTATCTCACTCTCAATTAAAAATCTATTTAAATATAAGATAGACATGTTTTTTAAGAATTATTTTTATTAAAAATATTTTTTATTTTTAATAAAAAATTAACATTACTTCTAAATTTTGATCGAAACAAACTATCAAATTTTCTTTGACTTTTGACGGGACGTGTCCAGAGCCGAACGGTTTGTGTCATTGAAACTCAAACTCATGCACATGAAAAGAAAACGAATGGAAGAAAAATGTGGGTAGTGCTGTGAAATAGGCAAGCCAAACATGGGTTTTGAAGAGAGTGAAAACGGATTCATGCATGTTCTTGATATATACACCTCCTTTTATCTATAAGTACACTTTCATTTTTTTAAATAAATAATTAATTTTTTAAAATATTTTTAATTTTTTTATTTTTAATTTTTAAATTTTACATTCACAATATTTAGTTTAGTATCTTATTTTTACCCATCTTTCCTCATTTTTTCAATTTTCAGATGCACCCCCTTACTTTTCTTTCACCTCACCTATTTTAGTAAGTAATTTTAATTCTTTTGATTTTACATTACTCTCTCCCCTCCTCTTTTAATTTTCTTACTCTTATCTTCTCTCTTCCCGGTTTTAATTTTCACACACATGTAAAATGTAGAACTAGTTTTTAATAATATTATAGGTATATGTAGCTTTCTCGATAATAGATAATAATTACAGGGAGATGAAATAGTGTATGTGAAAATTAAAAAAGAAAAAAGTGTGAAAAAGAAAAAAGAAAATAATAAATTAAAAGTTTAAGATATAAAATTAGAAAAATAAAAAAATTACAAATATTTTATAATTTTAAAAAAAAATAAAGGAGGTGTATTTATAAAAAAAAAAGAGGTATATATATCATGAGCCTTCATGCATTGTGGACCATATCTTTTCGGTATCGGCCCAAATGAAGGACTAATTACAAAAGAGT